GTCTAGTTTTAGATATAATCTGTTAGTTGTTGTTATCTTTTTGGAATGCTCTATTGTAGATAAAGTTTTAAATTTTATAGTCATTTTGGATGACTATAAGATTAACTCCTTATCTACAAGTCTTTAACTATTCTATCATATTATTATGTTGACTACTATTTATATAGTTTATGGTTGTTACATATATAAAACATTAATATATTATAAATTAAATAAAAATACTTAAAACATATTTTTTTTCATTGAAAAACAAGAAATATAAAAATCATATAATAAATAAAACATAAAAAATGAAATATAACAAAAGTTATTACAAATTAAATAATGTACTTAAAACATTAACATATTATAATTTAAATACAAAATATTTTAAACATATATATATATATATATATATATATATATATATATATAAAGTAAAACAGCATAATATATATAAAAAAACATAAGAAGTACTAAACAAATAAAAAAACATTACCGAAACTCAAAATGCGCTAAAAAACATAACAAATATTAAATAAATAAAAAACATATAAAATCATATAACCAAATTTTGAAGTGCGTTCACTCTTAATTGGTGTTAGAACTGCGATTAAGAACGTGTCATTGAATTTTAGTTGAGATTTGTCGAATTTCGAATTGCGGTAAGTCTTAACCAATATTCAAAAGGTGCGTCATTAATCGCAGTTCGAATGTCGGTTAAGCATGTTTACATAATCACTACTAACCTCGAATGTCTTTCACCACCTTCAATGTATTTCACTACCTTTCTCTTCCACGAACCACACCACAAAACATGACCACCATCAACCTCCGGATCACTACCAATATAATCGCCACCACTATAACACTGTACCACGATGACCACAACTTCAGAAGTCAAGCTCACACACAAACAAAGAAGAATTGAACAACAAAAAAATATAAAGTGCACAATTTATAGAAACAACATTTATTATTGATTGTTGGTTGTTGGTGGTTAGTTGTTGGTTGTTGGAATTAAACCAGCATCGTTAAATCATGATGATAGTTGCATGAGTTTAATAGATTAAGGGTATAAAAATCTAATGAAAAGTGCAGGATTACAGGTGTAAGGAGAAAAACTCTTAGAGATATTGTTTCCATTTCTCAATCAAAAGATATTAATATGTCGAAAAATAAAATTAAGAAGACTAAAATTATATTATATTAATAAGTTTTAAAATATCATATTTTAAAGTTTTAATTCATAATATTTTTTTAAAATATCTGAATCTAATTTATTCTTTCAACTTCCTTTCTGAGTTACACTATTAAGTGTAACACATTTTCTGAGTTAATTTCTAAATGTATCACATGATGTTTATTATTTAATGTGACGTGTAACTATCATAATGTTACTATGAATTTATATAAAAAGATCATATTTTTTTGTTATTTGAAAAACAAGATAAAATAATAAAGTAAAAAAATAATAGACGAAATTAAAAAAAAAATCCTAATAATCAAATGAAAATCCTATTAAATAAATAAACATTTAAATTGATCATTTTTCCTTGATTTTCTGTCTGATTGAAAGTTAAACTAAACTTATATTTAAAAATAACATGGGTTCATTTATTTTTACAAATTCTTCTATTTTACTTTTTCTTCCATTAATTTAAAGTAAATAGAGTAAAATATTATATTTCCTTTCTCTATTTCCATTTGTGTTTATCTGAGGTGTAGAGTGCAACCGCGGACTGAAGTAAAATATGTGTGGAAAATTAAAAATGCCTATAATTAATTAATTAATTTCTCTTATTAAACACATGTTTGGATGGAAACTTAGTGTGTGTGTGTGTCTATATATATATTTCTGATAACAAAATCTCTTAAGTCTCTTCTAAGAAGTTCTAACTCCATTTCTTAAGATTTTAGTTGAAGCATTCAATAATGAGTGAAACTGTAAAGTAATGATGCTAAAAACAAAACGTTTGCCCCCTCTTGCTGAAATTTGAGGTGTATGAGCCAAACAAAGAACTTTTCACTTTATTTATTGAAGAAGTTATACCTCACAAATGAGAAGAGGATATTCACGAAGTTCAATCTCGCAGGGAAATCATACCAACCAAAAAGGAATGGTTTCGTTTCTAAGAAAACTCAACATCTCAACTATTCACTATAAAACGAGACCAGTCATCAACAAATATTCATTCTTCCATTGCATTTGCTACTCAATTTGCTGAAATTGAAGGCAAACAAAATATAAAGAGAAATTGAACCAAAGAGAAAGGGTTAGAACATGTCCATCTACCAAGATGTGGAAGCCAAATCTGATACAGAGGAAACGCAGGAATCAATCATCCTGCGCGTTCATCTTCCTGATGGTTCGTTTCCTTTATTAATTCTTATAGTTCCTTTGCTTCATTTACTAAATTTATCAATTATTGATTTTTCTGTTAAATTAATCATTTAAAAAGGAATCAATTAATGCATAAGAATAGTATATTTATGTTTTAGTCATCATTTACTATTTATGTGCATAAAATATTTATTCTTGTCTACTATTTTAAGGAAAAAAAATATATATATATATATATATATATATATATATATATATAGTTACATAGAGAAATGTAATCTTGAGTTTTAAAAAAGTTTCGGAGTGAGTAAAATGAATAATATATAAATATAAACAAAAAAGTTATAAACGAATAGATTTAAGATTTTCGGATATTTTAGTCTTTTTATGTGTATTAGTTTATATAGTTCATTAGAGTTGGATTTCTATGGTACTTATATAGGAATTGCTATTTTGTTAAAGCAGTAGAAAAAAAAATATTTATGTGGGAGATCATTTATTATATCTATATATAATTTTGATTTCTTTTCTCTTCATTGTTGGAGTTTGAGTTGAAGATTTTCCATTTTTGTAACCTTGTGCATGTGGTGTCCCATGATACAGGTTTTGCACGTGAGCATGTGGGTGCTAAGGTTGAATACGGTTTTGCAAGGGTTAGAGTTCATGGTGAACGATCTCTTGGAAACAATATAAGGGTCCGTTTCAATACATTGTATCAAGTTCCAGAATATTGTGACATGAACAAGATTAAGGGAAAGGTTGATGGAAAAACTGTCATCATAATAATACCAACTATTCCAGATAAAGTCCCTAAAAAGGAGACAGAAGAACCTCCTAAAGAACCACCACAAGAAACAGAAGCAAACAACACTGTGGATGAAAACCAAGATGCTTCTACTCCTGCAGATGATAACCAGGAGAAAACCAAATCAACAAATGAGAATGAAGAAGAGGTTGATCATGAGACTTCAACTCCACCAAATGCCACACAAGAAGAGGCTATGCATCAAAAGGGTCAAGGGGAAGTTGAAGAAAAATCTGCAACAACCCAAGTTAAAAGTGAAAAACCAGTTGATCAAGAGAAATCAACCCCAACAAAGGACACAGAAGAGTCTAAATCTCAAGAGGGTCAAGAAGAAACCCCCCCAAAAGATGATAGTACAAAAGTTGATCATGATGGATCAACTTCAACCCCAGAAGAACATACAAAGGAATCTATGCCTCAAAAGGGTCAAGAGGAAACTCCCCAAGAAGCTACCTGTTCAACCAATGACAAGCTTCAGGGAGAGGAAAAAATTGCTGAGGAAAAGCAAAAGGCTATTGGAAAGGAAGAAAGTGAAGAAGAGCATTCCAGGAAGGGATTGGAATCAGGAAAGGCACATGAAAAGGATGAGGAAATCAAAGAAGAAAGAAAAGGGTTGAGAACATTTGAAGGAGAGAAAATGAATGGTAAAATTGGCAATGATGTTGGAGACAAGGGTGATGAAAAGAACATGCCTGAATCAACAAGGTCTAGAATTAAGGAAGTGGCTGCTTCTGCTTCTCAAGCTGTGACTGGTCTAGCTAAGAGGTTCAATGAAGAGGATAAACAAAAGATGATATACATGGGTGCAGCAGTTCTTGTGGTGGCCCTAGGAGTTTATGCTACCTACAAGCTTCGCTTACGTAGACAGTAGAGAAATCAATGGCATCATATTAATTTCCTTTCACATGGTTTCTTGTTAAAAACACTTTCCTCTATAAATAAGGACTTGCAAAGGAACATTACCATATAATTAATTTGTGTATACTGTTAACTGCTGTATGGGGTGTCTGCTAAAAACATATGCTTAGCAGTGATAATTGTTTGTGCTACTTGTAATAATATAAAGAAATTGAGTAACCCCACAATTTTAACTCATCTCCGTGCGTATGCATGAAAATAACCGATATTTAATTTGTAAATCCTATAATAAATAGTACACATCAAAACACACAACTAATAGTCTTTTAAAAGTTACATAACATTTAACCATTTATGTATATTATATGGTATTAGTATAAAAAAAGCATGCCATGATTTTAAATTTTTTATATGTTTTCTTACTTTTAAAGAAAATAAATTAATAATGCTGGTTCCCACAAAAATAAAGTAATAAATTACTCATAGTATATTATGTTTTTGAAATATACAAATAAGTAATAGTTATTTTTAGTATTTGAATAGTTTATCTCTATTTTTTAATTTTAACATAAAACTAAAGATAAAATAAAAATATTAATGGAAGTCCTTTTATAGAGGTATAAATGACAGCTACTTTACAGTGCCTATAAAATTTTTTAATATCAATGTTATTTTGCATAAACCCTCAAAAGACCTCAATTTCAATGTAATATAGAATCTTGTTACACAATATCTTGTACGAGAACACCAACCTTTATGCATCAAAGGAATCGTTGAACCACTAAAATAAACTCCAAAGTAGTTATAATCAAAATCCTTCTAAAAAAGAGAAAAAAATTACAAACATAATTTAAATACCTGGTGGATTGCACGGTTTATCATTCTAGTATTTGTAACACAAATGTTAAATTCTTCACTAAAATATAAAATTGGATGTAAACGCAGTGATTCAAATAACTTTAAAATGTCTTCCAACATATCTATGTAAACAATGAAAATGCATAAAAGCTCACATACAAATTGAAAGACTCATTCTAATAAATTAAGCTAAAATTACAAGTGTTATAGCTAGTAAAAAGTACTAAAAACAAAAACAAACTATCCAACTCTAGATCATTACTATAATAAGATAAAATAATAATAATAATAATAGCCTTCCACACTATCTTTGTTCCCTTCATTATACTTGGCACCTCTCCATCTTCTTTCTAGGTATTCTTTATCAATAATCCAATTATCATCTAACTGCATAGAATTAAAGTTATACACAAGTTCTCCTAGGCTGCTTCTTGGTTAATTCATAACAAAACCAAATCATCAATACACTTTTGTTTCAAATGGGTTCATTTCTTTGTATGGACCTAAAAAGATACAAATACAAAAAATCAATTGCATATATATGAAAGAAAAAAATGAAATATGGTTTATTATTATTAAACTTTCCAATCTAAAATGCACTCAAAATATACTTACATCCATATGGATTGCATGTCAACTTTATATTTGAAAAGAAAACTTCTAGAATTCCACATTCACACATGATTCACGCCATTATGGTGACTGAATACAAAACTTAAAGTATATTTTCAGAACTTCTCTATTAAAAAAAATATGCATATTTCAAGTAGTGAAAGATTTCAAAAATACTTCTAACTTATATTCAAATAAACTCAGCATAGTTTTAGTATTAACTACAATTGTTGTCATCAAAACACCTTCTTCAAGCCTTCAATCTAAGCATCAATCTTAGTTATTTTTACAATACTTACGACAATTTCTTTTATTATCAACTTTTAACTTCAAAATTAACTTTAAATCTACAACTAGCTATTATAACTGAGATAAGATAGTTTGGTCAAAAAGTACAATGGCAATCAGAATGGATTTGTTTATTTAATGCTTCATTAATGAAATACTTAAGATGCATATATCTGAAAACTGAAATTACATTTTAAACAAAGACTTATCAAAAATTAAACTGAATTGGTAACTTGTTTACCTTTCATAGACACCCTTCAAGGCATTTTGCATTATCTCGTTATCAATCCATTTCCTCATACATCATGGTTTCCCTCTCTAATCCAAATCAACCAAAAAAGCCCCTTCGTTTGGATAAGTCCCCTCAAATAAATCAGAATGTTTTCTTAAAACTAAGGTTATGTTAAAAAGCTAAACTTATACCAAACTAAACTACATTTGAAAAAACTCACGTTTTGAAAAAGAAAAAAAATTAAACGCCCCTATACTAAATTGTGTAAACTGCATTGAATTATAACTAATGAAATTGAAAAATATGATTTAAGATCATGCACATATTGAGAATAGTTCAAACATTTTAAATAATTTAAATCATTCAGATTAGTCTATTTGCTTTGTTTCACATTATGCAATTCTATACAAGATAATCATTTCAATTCAGTCACACTACTTATAAAAGTTTAGTTCAATTATATACTAGATAAGTTCAATTTATGCAATTTGTCCACCTCAAAATCAACCAAACATTTTCGTTCAGATAATATATACTGTGTTTATAAACACGTTGGACTTTTAAGTGTAGTAAACTGTCCTTTTAAAGTCAGTCTAACTAATTTTTTTTTAAACAAAGTTTTTAAGAAATCAAAACTTAACCTTTTTGATAAATAGATCAAGCTCTTTGACTTATTTCCACCAACTATTTCAAATGTGATAACCATCAATGAAGGTTAAAAAATTGTTCTATCAATAACAATAGACTTAGTTGAAACCAATGAGTGGTAAGGGAGAATTTTCTTTGTTCTAATTTTATCTCGTTAGCTCAAACATTCAGCGAAGAGAGAATATGGAAACTAAGGACGCTAAAATCTCTCCCTAATAACATTAGAGGGATTTTGTATTTTAAGGGAAGTGAAAATAGGTTATGATTTTAAGAGGTACTAACAAAGTTATTCTTGAAATTTTATTTTCCTTTAGTAATACTTAAGAGTAAAATAATACATTACAAATATTCTTCAATACCCTCCATAATCATACATCACCCCTAACCACATGAATTACATGGCATCCAAGCCTTGGTAAGCTAAAGAACCTGATTCATAATTAAAACATCTGACCTATTTCCTCGTCGAAGGCAATCTGTTCGAAAAGCTAACCTAGCCTGAACCTGGTTCAGAAAAACTTATAAACAAGCTAATAGGCCTTTAAAAATTATTATTAGTTATATTTTTAAGTTATCATTAGATGTAAATTGTAATATATGTATTACGTATTATATATTATTTACATAAATATAATATACAATTTTATATATTTAAACAGACGTGTCCATCAAGCATAAAAGACATGTCTACCAAGGGAAGATGAAGACAAATCACAAACCAGAACAGAAAAAGGAGAAGTGGAGGTGTTAGGTTTCTTGGTGAAGAGGAACCTATATTCTATCTCAAAATAAACAATCTCAACAGATAAATGAATCCTCACAGTGAGGAAAACAGTTTTATTGAAGGGAAAACACTGAAAACAATCAACTGCAGTCAAGGGAAAACATTCCCTGTTTTTCTAATAAAACACTCAACAACCAGCCAAATACATGCCCCCTCCTTAAAAGACATAAACAAAACAAAGCATCAAAGGAAACCATCAACAACCAAAGGAAACTACCACTAACTGCTATTAAACTCCTCCTAACTCCCCTAACCACCACTTACTAACTTCTAAGTTTATTTTTCCTAACGTAAAAATTCCAAGACCTATCAGGAGGGAAGGAAGAGGTAGGACAAATAAGTTTGAAAATCTTGACTAAATGGAAAAAGGGTGGTCTCAAATAATTGATTTTCTGGATGGCAGGATCAGTGTGCTAGAGATTTTATGCTCAATACCACGTTATCCGACCAATCATCATCCCAAAACATATTTAAAGAGCAGTGTAAGATTGTTGGGTGCTAGAAAAATCATTGGATCATGCCACTTCCATAACTGTATATTAAACAAAATAGGGGGCAGTACATTAGACCACAGACAATTTAAACAATGTGGCACACATCATAAAAAAATGCAGAATGCAATTTATAAATGATACAAAAGAAGATCATAAAGCAAAACATTGCACATGACAAAAGGGGCGTGGATTTTGCTTTAACCTCAAAAAACTGCTCCCCGAACTAGTTAAATATTGCTAGAAAAATTACATTGTGCTAGAAAAATCAAACTAGTTGAGAAATTTATTTAGTATAGCTATCCCAAAGGTTCAACAAGTTAACATTGGTCATTCAAACAAGTTCATATAAACTCAAACCTATACGAAAAAAATTGTTACCAATGAGGATGGCCACAAAAAAAGATGAACTAAAGGAAGCACCAGCCTTTCACTAGCCACCATAGGTCAAGAAAGAGAAGGAGGGAAGTTTAAATAAAGCTATGCAAACGTAAAAATTTTAAGAAATGAAAACCAAACAAAAACAAAAATTGATAAAAGAATTGTGCTTTTGTAAACAAGAATTTCGTAACCTACAATCATTCATCAGAAATCCCATCACCATGAAAACTGTTACCATTATCTTGATCAACCAAAGATTTGCTCTTGGGTTTTGCCAATTTGCTTGATTTTGAAGATTTCTTAACTTTTTCTGCTTGCAATTCCAACACCTTCTCTGAAGGTTTTCTCTTTCTTTTAAAGCGCCCAGCATCGTCTTCATAAAATTGAAAAATAAAACACTATTATTGAAGGCAGCATTAGAGTCAAAAGGTACATACCAGAAAAATGCATACACAATACATTGGCATTTCAACCACACCAGGAATAAAAAGGGAAATTTCTAAGCCAGTACACTGGAAAAAGTTTGGGGACCTTGAAATTTATTAGAACCATAATCACCAAGCTAATTGGTCCTATTCTAATTAACATGTTAAACCTACCATTATACTTGGCTAAGAAGAAATAGAGCAAAAGAAAGCGAAAGAACACAAACAGTCATGCATTTTCCTTCTATTTGATTGAACAGAAATGTTGACTAAAAGAAAAAAAAAATAGAATCTTTTTCTCCTCAATTCTCTTCAACTCAAATATCAGTTTTTTCACCCGTCATCATGTCTCCATTGTAGTAAACATAGACATGTAGTTATCCAATTTCTTCAAGTAATAGACTTAATCAAGTGAAGTTTCAAACTGCAAAGTTAAGCCTACGACATAAATTTACCGGCAAAGTTACAAGATCATGATTCTATAACTTTTATTTTTTGGATTGGGGATTAGAATTAGAATTTGTGAGTTTTAAGAATCAAAATATTTTGCTACAATCATATAATGCAAAGCATGTTATTACCTTCAAGAAGACTGGATGCGTGATTCATCATAAGTCCATTTGGTCCAGCTTCTTCTGAAGGGGATCCAGTGTTATTGCTGTCCAACAACTTTGAAGAACTTTCTGCACACTTGTCTTGCTGTTCCAGAGGATCACGACTAGGGGTTGCTGGCAAGAAACATAGCTCTTCTTGAGACATATCAGAATCACTGAAAGTGGCATCTTTCTCCACTGATACGATGTCAACTTCCTCATCTTCATTTACATCAGGACCTTTCACCTGTGCAAGCATATTACACAAAAATAAATGGGTAAAAAGAAATAAAGATATCCATGACCAATCCAACAAAATAACATTTACCTTCTCAGTGTCAGGAATCAGATCAAATTCATCTTCACGCTCTACATACTCTTCATTTTCCTCAAGCTCCTTGAAGTCAGGAGCAAATGCACTCCAATTCTCGGTATAATCTTTTGCCCATATATAAACAAAGCCATTCAAGGAAACAGATACAACAAAAGGATGTACAGGATGCCATGCTAGATCGATAAGAGCTTCCTTTGGTCCTTCAAGGATTTTCACAAGATGCCCAGCTCTATCCCATATGTAAATCTTGTGCTCACCTTTGCAAGCAGAACCACCGACTACCCACTCACCATCACCACTGAAACAAGGGGCTTTCCAGTGTACCTTTGTGATGGCATCTTGAAATTCCCGGAACAAAATTAAACATTTTGACCCAATGGCCTTCAACTTCTCACTGTTATTTACATCACCACAGTTCTCATTCAGTTCATCAAGGGTTCTGACCTCGTCTTTCAGAGGCAGAAGGTTTTCATAGATCCTTATTACTCGATCATTGGAGTTCGTGAGTAGATACTGCCCATTCCTGCTGAACACAATGTTCTTTACAACAGAACCACCAGTGATTGGGACTACAGCACGCACTTCACCAATTTTGTAATCAATAACAAGAATTTCACCTTTTGAGTTTCCCAAATAAACCAGAGTCCCGTACTTGTTAAAACAAGCAGCGGTTGGTGTAAAGGAGGTGATTCCATCAGAAGACTTATTGCGTGAGGGAGGGATTAGTCCATTGCTTGTCTCTGACACAGAAACCTTAAGCAAAGTTGTGTTTCCTGTATTCAGGTCAACAATCATAGGAGCACATGAAAGAGGACATGCTAAGCAAAGAGATGGTGTTGAAGATCCTGGATGAAGACGCGCTTGTAGAGGGGTTTGTTGCAAAACTATTCGTGTTATCTTCTTACCACTCATAACATCCCACAAAATTAATGATTTGTCAGCAGCAGATACCAGAATTCGATGACCATACTTTGACCAACAGATGCTGGTTATGGGGGAAGAACATTCATTATCATGAAGAATCTTAGAGATGCCTCTTGTTTCGAAATCCCAAATAACACAACTTCCATCATTGCACCCAGCTAGTTCAATTGTGCAAATCATGATCAAAATGAGAAAATTGATATCATACAATAACTCCAATAACTTTTGAACAAATAGCACACATCATGGAAATAAGTCCATGCTTCAGAAAATGAAGTACCACAATTTTCAAAGAAAATCTACCAATATTTTTTCTTGAAATTTAATCAGAAAAATAGAAATATGTCAATCAAATCAAATCAGAATGCTTTTTCAAAATTCTTGAACTTAACGAGATTGTCCGTGATCCATTATGATAAACTAAATATAAAATTAGAATAACTATCAGATTGGCATAATCCATAACAGGAATGGATACTTCAAAATATAAACCCACAAAAGTTGCTCCCCAGGGAGAAAAAATTCAGATGAAAGACAAATCAGAGATGGTTCAGAAAGCATTTGACACAACTGTCCGATCAACATAAACTGAGACTCAAAGTAACTGATGAATAGCTATTTCTCGCCTGCAATCATATTGCCTTTGGTTCATTGATCTTAAATTGTTCATACCATTAACTTTAAAGTGCATGCAATAATTACAAATGTTTAATAGTCAACTCTGTTGGTAGATTGAGTGGTTCATGAGTCAAATGCTAAAATGCATGTATAGTTCATCAGTATCAATGTGTAGCAGTAGACTTTAAACTCAATTGGTTTGTAAGGTGAGACCCTCTCGCGATGATAGAAAGGGTATTTATGGGTGATTTGATATATGATAGGTCCAATAAACCTAGTTAGGGTAGACTAAGAAAACCTGGCAAGGATAGGATCTTAGAGAGTATACTTCAAATTTAACTTGAGGGTAAGGTCCTTATGCCATGGTGGGAATAGTATAAGTATATATTGTGGTGATTTGATAAACATAGGTTCAACAGCCCTAGTTAGATTAGACTAAAAAACCATAATTAGAGTAGGATCTGATAGTAACTTAGGAAATGAATTTTTAAGTTCAACTCAATTTTACAGAACCGGTTTGCAAAGAGAAGTTTGCACCTACTTATGTACTATCATTTGACCCTATCTATTTCAGATAATAAAAAAATAAAAACACTTCTATTAGTTCTCTCAACAAATTTCGATTCAGTCATGTTCTGTTTTTTCTCTTTCTTCCCCTCTAAATTCAATAAATCATACAATGAACAGGACTTGCATATAAATTTAGCATATTTTTCTATAGAAGACTAAGCTTAGAAATTAACATGAATAAACAAACAACCACATCATGCATATCATGTTTATACCGTGCATTGACATCAATTGCATGATTACTACATCAGGCGAGGATGTATGAGTAGATATTAATATTTTTCCATCAACAGGCCAAAGCAAAAAATAAAAATAAAAAATTAAACACAGAACTCCACTCTGAGCTTAATGCTAAAATCTCAAATTCAACATAATCCCATAAGCAAAACTATCAAACAAAAAACACCTGAACAAAAATAATGTTCTTGTCTTACCTGGGTCATCAGGGAAAAGAAATATACTAAGCAAAGTTGGTTACTTTAACCTTGAAATCGCCATTTAAAACATAAAAAAGAATTTTAACCACAATCCATCTTTAAAATCAAAAGACAAAAACATTGTACAGGAATACATCAAGGATAATACCCAAAAACAACCATATCATAAAACACTGAAGAGAAAGGGAAAGAGACATAGAGAAAAGAACAGAGAGGCTACCCGCGAGAAGGGTACCACGGCGATTAAAGGCAATGCATTTCATACAGCCATGTTCCAAATACTCCTCTATGACTTCTGGGAAATCACCCTGCAACGGATCTACAACATGGTGCACACGCAGACAATAAGAAAAAATAAGAGGCAAAAAAAAACATAAAGTGACATAGAGTAAAAACGAAAAGAGAAAGCCGAACCAATGATGGAGGCGTTCATCATAGAGACGGTCAAGGTGTGCGCGGGTACAGGAAGAAGCAAAATTGAAATAGAGAAATAGAGAGGTTTTTATTGCATAGTATATTGGTAAAAGGTAAATTAACAAAAGATATAATAAAATAGAAATTATTTGATTAAAGAAAAATATAAAAAAAAAGGGAAAAAAATGAATAATTTTATTTATATATAATTTGTGTGATAATATGTTAAATATCATGTTATTTCGTTTTAGTCATATTTATCATTAACTATCTCTTATAATTATTATTTCTTTTATAATTACTTTCTATAAATATCTTTTAATAAAATGTAGATATTTATTTTCACAACTAAAGAATATATAGAGATTATTAATTTAAAATTTTCACAATAAACTATATATTATATTACTAAATTATATATATATATATATATATATATATATATATATATATATAAATGATGATGAATAATTTTGTAATTAGAAGAGAAAAGATTGGAAAGAGTGAATTTTTTTTATTTAAATTAGTCTTAAACTTTTATTTGTTATTATATGTTTTTCGAGTACTTTTTATGTCAAGTAAATTTGTATTATAATAAAAGAGATTTATAACTTGTTTAAGGAAATTAAAAAATGAGGTGGTTTGACAGTTTAGTTTAGTATGAGGTTTAGAATTTAAATGAAATTTTTAAATTCACATTTTAATTGTTTGACAGTTTTTACGAAGATCATTTATTATAAGTTTATTTGATGTTAAAGACTCAAATTGTTTCTTGGAATGTGTCTTACAAGATCACTATAGTAAAAGGAGAGAATATGTCTTTTTATAAGGACACTCTTAAGATCATTTCAATATTGGACTTAGAGAACATTGTTGATTCTCCCCTCCCATTTTAGGGATGTCCACCAATATATGGTATACCCTTGAAAGCTTAGGATAGTCAAAGGTGTTGCAAGTGTCATTAATTGTTCCTTGAAGAGGCCAACTAGGTCGAATCACAATCAAATTGTGGCGCTTAAGTTGTTACACTCTTAAGTTGAAAGTGTTATACCTTGCCTAATAGCTATAACTTTTGGCATAATGGTAAGTGCTTAATCCATCAATTAGTATCTGATCCAAGGTCACGAGTTTGATTCAAGTGGACAATTGTTCAGGGGGAGATTATTGCAGGTTTCACAATTATCCAATGACGTAGGTCAAGTGGGTCGAGTCACAATCGAAGAGTGTGATTCCCAGTAAGACAATTTTTGAGGGAGAAATTGTTACAGGTGGCATCAATTGTCCCGTAATAGAGGCTAAGTGGGTCGAATCATAATTGAATCGTGGTGTTCGAGTTATCACGCTCTTAAGTAAAAAGAGTTGTGCTCTGATTAATAACTATAGCTTTTGACCTAGTGTTAAGCGCTCAATCTAACAAAAGGTATCTTCCTCTCCTCACTTACTTGGTGGCAAGCAAAGAAGTTGTCCACATTCATCTCTCAATCAACATATGTTTACATATCATCCTTCTCATGGAAATTAGGGCGATCTACACTTGTCTCTCTTAAGATATGTTCCCTTTTATGTCTCTTAGGTGAAGGTGGAAAAGGTTGATAAAATTGATTCACTATTTTACTATCCACCTCATAATGTGTGATGAGTGTTGGAGCTTGGAGCTTATTGAGTTGCTCCTACTTTTTATTTTCCCTTGCAACCTTTCATCCTTTTGCCCTTAAAATTATAAGTTTTTCCCTTAGAATGACAAGTTTGGCCTCTCTTTCAAATTTATCCTTTTCTCTTTGGATGACCTTTTACTTTCTTCAAATTTTTATGGTAACTTTAGCTCTTGAGAAAATTCTTGTCAAACTTTATGAAGCTTATTCACTATAGTCACTACCAATTTGGTAAGAAAGATCCCTAAACAAGCTTATGATTTTGGTTTTAGGTTTTTACTTTTGTTTTTCAAAGAAATTTCAAAGTAGATAACAAGTTTCTTAAGTTTACTTCCAAAAAAGAGTGAATTACTTAGATTGCTTAAGTACCAAGTCTTTCCTATTAGAAGTTTACCTTGATATTTCTTACACAAAACTTCTTAACTGGAGTTAAGTGAAAGATAAAGTTGACACACATTAAACTATAACGCAAAAGCAAACAAGCAATTCAAATAATTAAAGCACCTAATTTGTGAACCTTCAAAACATACTCATTGTCTAAGCATTTTTATTACTTGAATAAAGTTCTAATTAGGAAATGAGAACACCAAAGATTCTCACAAGATACCTAAATAGGCCGAATTACGCATGGTTTCAAACTAGATGCTCAACTTCCTAAGATGCCACCTTAGAAAAGTTAGTTCACCTCAAAGTAGGAAATAACACTAATATAGGATAGTCAAACCAAGAGGTCAAGGAAATAAAGCAAGAAAGGCACAAATTAAAACATGTTAAACTCAAATAGAAAGAAGTCGAGACATACTCAAAACATTTTAATCAAGACAAGCAAAAAATTAAAGGTTAGAATAAAAAGGAAACACACAAAGGAAATTAACCTAGGAATGGTACTAGAATGGATTCAAAAACCAAAGGCAACTAGAATGAAATGTATACTACTAAATATCATCAAAGGCCAAATCAAACAAGCTCTGTGTAGCATGAAATGAAGTAAAGGTTAGGAGTATAAGGTGCTGAAAATTCAATGATATAAAGCTTAAATGATAAAGATTTTAAAACACAAACTCAATTAGATGTAGTGGTTATCACACACATGATTTTCAATCCTTTTCTTTTTAATTATATTTTTTATCTTTTCTCAATCTTTTGTATCTATTTTTTAAACACTTTTTTTCACTATTTTTCTTCAAATTATTTGGCCAACCACTACACCACACATATTTTCATCAAAGAGGT